ATAGTCATGCAAAAATCTTTTTCAGTGCACAGGAACCACTATCATAAAAATGCAAAAGAGCGCAAGTATCAAGCATTCAAACAAAACGACCTGCAACGCACCCACTCGGCCACGCTGCTGCGATCGGGAAAGCCCCACGCCGCTATATTGAGTGTGACTGTGCTCCCCTGAAAAGCCTCGTAACTTTGTTCTGGGAGGTCCGCAGCAGATATGAGACAGTTTCGTAATCCCCTTTCAAAGACCTGTCGGTATACACTCCAGTTCTTTGCGGACGGTTGGGCGTGTCAGCCAGTATGAGTGTGTCCCCTATCGGAGCTGTTCTCTCGGAGCCGTTCGGAGTAATACAAACATATGATACAGTATCGTCATTTTCCCGCTTCAACAACAGGTGTTTGGTTCTGCGCCAAACGCAGCCGCACTAACACGCCCAACCGTCCGCAGTGAACTACAGTATACATCTCATCTCAAACGGCCACTTCGACCCACCATCCTTCCCTTGTCAGCATACTACCAAGCTCCTCAGTTTCATGGTCTTCGTTTCATCATAGGGAGTTTCACTTCGATGCTACCGCTGCTTTTCACGAAGCGAATCACTAATTGAATTGAGAAACCACTTATTCATGCAATTAGTAATGAGGTGGGTTCTTCAGCGTATAAGCAGCGCAAGCGCACCACATTTACACTCGAAGGCGCGGGCTAAGAGGCAGGGGCGAGCAACATAAATCACGCCTACACCTAGTTAAGATGCCCATGAACGCACGACTAGTGCCAGGAAATGCAGTCAAAACTGTTTTCCCTTTTCTGCTCTGTGGCTCCGGCTAGTGCGAAGGGTAACCCTGTGCAGAGTTTGTATCACAAACGTGCATGGTATGGGCGCAAGACTGCATAAGGGTCGAAATTTAAAGAATCAGTGGTTGAATCGGTTTTCATTCTGCTGCTGTCGTGAAGCAATGAAACGCGTTTACTTACGCCTCTGCCTTTGACAGCTGAGCTACGATGGTTGCAGCTTACGTGTGGAGTGTAAATAAGCAAAGGTAACTCTTTCAACGCTTATTACTCAGTTACATCCTAGCCATCATCTTTCATCGTCATCTCCGCTCAGCCAAGTTTACGGTTCGTTAGAAACCCTCGCTGCTTCTTTTGAAACCGCCTTCCTGCTGTCGACTGTCAATGAATAAATAAATGCGCACAATCAATTTTGTACAGTGGAGTTCCCATCCGACCGTGCGGCGGACCACTTTGGCGAGAAGCTGTTGCGATCGATAACGGCTGATACGCCCATTCAACTGGTTTCTGTTGTTTTAGCTCTAAAGTTGATCTTCTCTAGGCCACAATAGGCAAAGGCAAGTATGCTTTACTGAAACTTGATTTTGTTTTGCATGGTTCAAGTCAATAACGCCGAAATCGAATGACGATATTAAAAAATTCAAGCAATTAAAAAAATCCGATGATAGGGAAAGAAATCATTTTTAGAGAAATTCATGCTAAAATCATGCGCAATGTGTTCTAGTTTCAGCAAACATACTCACCTTTCTGAATCGGAGTCGAAAAAAGAATAGTTTCAGCCTACAAGCTAAATGTAACGGAACTACAGCAAAAGTGCCGCAGAAGTCATCCACACCGAAGAGTGAGTGGATGGTGCGGCGGCCTGCGTTCGAGCGTAGAGTCAATGCCAGAGAGCGCAGAGGCGATGATGAGAATTGCCCAGGCCTCCGCCTTTCCACCACAGGCAACGGTCAAAACGGTCGCCAGCGTGGTCACAGGAGCGGCCCGGGAGGCGTGCAACAGAATCTCCGGGGCAGCGCTCGCGGCACGCGGCGCGTTGCGCGGCGAATGACTCAGCGGCTCACTTACGTGCATTTGTTAGCCGATAACTTTGCGACTGGAGCAATTGATTCACTACCGCGTACATCCGCAACATTTAGCAGGTTTCATTAATGATTGAAAATCTGATGATGTTTTTCTTGTTAGTAACACACGATTGTTTGGCGGTTTCATTAACACAACTTCAGGAAATAAACAGATACAAAAGAAATCAGATGAGGCCGTGATTCTCCCTATGTTTATGCGGATCACATGATTTGCGCAGTCGCTAGCGTCAATATAATAGACGGATGGCCAAGTTTTTCCGTGAGATGCTGTAAAACATGACAAACCAGAGCAAATGTTGAAGACCCCAATGAATTTCGTGCTCTCTCGAACTTTTATACCCTAACTGATAACTTAACCGCAACTGAACACAAGACTCGATCCTGGATGATATCAATATTAACCTTCTCTTCAATAACCCAATTCAAACCGCCAGAGCCCGCCTCGTCTTTTAAAGAAGTACAAAACACATCGACATATGTACTCTTCTACTGTCCCATAGTCTCTACAAGACACATCGACACATGTATCCTCCTACTCTCCCATAGTCTCTACTCCCTGCCGCTGCAAACGCTAGCAGAACGCTGGTGAAACACTGGCGAAACGCTGGGAGCGCTAGATCGATAGCGCTGGCGTATCGCTAGATTACTTTAGCGTTACACTAGCGTACGCTGGTGACGCTGGGAAGGCTAGATAGATATCTATCCTTTCCCCGACATTGCCGCTGGCTGGCGTGCGCTGGAAACGCTACGCAAAGTATAAACGCAGCCTCATACGAAGTTTTCCAAAATGCCCCATACAAAAAATGTGGTAATCACCGATACCATTTCGCACGCCAACAACAAACACCAACTTGAAAGAACAATTTTTTTTCGTCAATTTTTTCGAAAATGGTCGTTCTGAGATCGCAGCAAAAGTATAGTTCCACCGAACAAATTGAATATTCCAACAACATGTGTACAATGAATTTTGATCCAGTAAACTAATGGATGCGGTGGAACTATACTTTTGCTGCGTTGCCAGAAAAATCATTTTTGAAAAAATTGACGAAAAAAAGTTGTTTTTTTCAAATTGGTGTTTGTTGTTGGCATGCGAACTAGTATTGGTAATTACCACATTTTTTTGTATGGGTGCATAAAACGTCATGTAAGACAGGATTTTGTGAGATTCATGGGTGGAATTATGATTATGCTTCGCAGTGTATGTTGCAGGCCACGCCCACCAGCTGTGCCGGACGATTCTGTTGCTACACACTCGGACCGGCCCACCGTCGGATGAGAACTTTACTGTGTGCCCTCTCGGCACATTTTATCAGCTCTAACTAACTGTTATCACTTCCAATCGCTATAGCGTTAGCATCCGTACCACTTCCAGAAACCAACAAAACAAACAACTGTTGCTGTGGCGCGGCACGGATTCATTGACACTCCCTCCCTAACGAGGGAAGTAGACCAAGTATATGACGTACTCGATCGGGTATGGATTTGTACGCGAAAACGATGGGTTCCATCGTTTAGTAGATGACCACAAAAACGTGAAAGCAAGCGTTTTCTCGTCAGAAGGATGTGTTATTCGTGCTTAGAGGGTCAAAATACCCCCAGAAACGAGTTTTGGCCAAATTGTGATTCTGGCCGAAACTTCGAATAGTCGGATGGGTTATGAGTTAGGAGAGGGTGGATAGTGACCAAATCAATACACGACGAGCACGTCGTATAATTGATCTACTTGCTCTGCTGGGTCGTAAACTCTGAAGAATTTTGAAAATTAGTGTAAAAACTCCTACAGGAGACGAAGAATACTTTCGCGCGGACGGGATGCAAACCCACAATCAATGCCTAGGAAGCGACATCGTTACCACTAGGCCACGGTGGCACTGTCTGGCGATGGATCAGCAGCGCTTAGGCAGCGTTCAGACTTGTAGCGCTACGTCGCGCTACAACTGTACCAAACTCCAACTTCTCTTTATGTTTTTTCTTTTTAAATTCAATCCTTTTCTCTTTGTTTCTCATGTTTATCTGATGCTGAGCTCCTCTTTTCTACTTTATCTCATTTTGATGCAGTTTTTGATAGAGAAAACTGTGATGGTTGATTTTATGTGTCGTTTTCAACTTTACTTATTATTTATTTTCAGAGTTGCTATTAAGGTTTGATGTATTGCAGTGGTGCCTCATGTTGATCCCGATTGCGAAATTGTTTTCATTCTATAGGGGGACGGATCGCTTCTCGACATATAAAATCAATCATCACATGTTCTCTATCAGAAACTACATTAAAATGTGATAAAGTAGAAAAGAGGAGCTCAGCATCAGATAAAATTGAGAAATAAAGAGAAGGGGGTTGATTTTAGGAAGAAAAAAAACATAAAGGGAAGCTGGAGTTTGGTACAATTGTAGCGCGACGTAGCGCTACGTAGCGTACAAGTCTGAACGCTGCATTACGAGCCAAAACGGGAACGGGAAGCTGGAACCATTCCCTTGTAAGCCCATATCTTATCAGGTGTAATCGTTTCCTATCACTAACTGACAGCAGTTCCCATCCTATTCCTACATCTCTTTCTGCAACCAAGGTAATTTTGTTGTGGCGTACGTTACGAATTTGGTAACACTCCTCTTCTCAGGCCCTTGTCTGCCGTTAAAATGCTATCACTTAATGTCATCGACCGATGATGATCACTGACCGCTGTGTCACCCATGGATTCGGGCTATGCGGCTAAAAGAAAGGAAGTTATGATGTGGTACAGTTGAAAACATGGAGACTAAAGAAAACGAAGAATATCGGCCTCGTTCCCACCTCTTCGGCCAGCCACTTTCTTGCCCTACACGCTGAAGTTCAAGCAGGAAGGACTAATTTTTTACTACTGAACGTTCTCCATAGCTGAGCACGTGTTTGGCTGCGGGACCTTGTCATCAATGCAGGCGTTGCACATTAAGATAGATCGGGTAGAGAACCGAGCTCGACCAAACACGAGAACCATTACCCCTTCCCACGCGCTCTGAGCTGCGAAAAGGGCGCGCTACTGTAGCTAGGAACCGATTCACCTCGCATAGAGGGGACCGCTCTAAGATAGGTGTATACAGTTTGTCTTTGAAGGGAGTACGGGTGACAAAAGTGATGTTTTTTAGGTTCGGCATTCATAACAATAATTCAATCGGCTCACCCAGAAAATCGGGGATACCATCGAAACTGCTATCTTCCAAAGCGGCGCAATCTTTATCACTTAGCTGGTCGTACATTTGCATTACACTGAAATTGATTTTCGTGCAGTGCAACTATAAAGGCGAGTCTAGTAAGCAAACAATGCTTTAATTTTTACTGTCGCGCCGATGCGCTTTTCGATAATTTTCCTTCCATCTGTTGAAATGCACATCGCAATATCTGGAATATATTTCATGTTTGGAAGTGCAACATATTTCATGTCTGGAAATGCTACAATTTTTGACAGAGCGAAATATCCTCTACCCACCGAGTCAATAAATTTCCTTACTTTCCGTGGTAGTTGCACGTAGAACCTTTTTTTCTCATTAAAAGACAATCCTTCTTGTCCGGGAATGTCGCTCATCTGAATGCATCAGTCGATTAAGCTTTTATCTATGTAGTCAAGGATCGAAAGAGACTTTTTCATGGTCTGCGAGCAACTAATACTGAATTCCTTGGATGACGCCATTTCTGCTTTTCTCTGTGCTCTCTTGCCTGAGTGGTGCTTTGTGACCGCTATGACCTTTGACATTCCAACTTGTCCGCACCAAATGGCTCATCCACCCCGGTGTCTCCTTCCTTCGAAAAGCTAATCTGCTGACTTGCGTCATATTTTTTTTGTACCCCAAGATGCCTTGACAGTCCCAGTTCTTCAGTGCTCTGCGCTCTTGCCTATCGCGACAGGACTCCCACCAGAAGTTTCAGTTGCCACGTTATGCTTTTTTCATATGAAGCAGGTTGTTAGGAAGAATAATGAACATCAAAGGCTGGCTGTGCACGCCAACACCCTAAAACATTTATAAGCGGACTCGTTTCACTGGAGTCACAATCATCGTATACTAGCATTATCCAGAACTTAATATGACGGTGCACGCCAACTTTCAAACACGTTTTGTAAGCAAACTCCTTTCACTGGAGTTTCAATCATTATATACTACTTTTATCCCAAACTCAATACTTTGTGAACCAAGATCAAATTGAATTAACAGGTACGCAAGATATCAAGTTCACAATCAAATGCAACACCTCTAGCTCTCGTCAACCTTCTCTTGTCCGTGTTCACAGGAAATTCGGTAACAGAAGCATCTGCGCGGTCAGCGCTGCAAGCATTTGACCCGTACCCCGCTGTCGACTTGAAGGACTATCCATTCAGAGAACAGAGCATCATATGAGTAATACGTCGGCAGCACAAGCACACGATCGTGCCGCAAAAGAAAGATACCCGTGAAACTTGTGCAGCTGGGAAAAAAATCAGTGAGTTAAACTACTAATGTCGCTGGAGTCAATGAGAATAAGGGCCCGAAGCGCATTGGAAATTGCGAAGACAAACTGTGCGCTCACTTGCAGAATCTGCCATGCGCGTGATGGATGGTATGTACCTGTACGTGCCGTGCTCACCACTCACAGGAGCACAGGAATGGAGTAGGAGGGCAGTCTTGTAAGAGAGAAGTTTCTGCATGCCTGCCCTGCCGCCAAGGTACAGTTCGTCAGACAACACTCAGAGGATATTCTGTACGAATACAGCGACGACTGAAAGAGGTGGTGCGCGAAATGGGTCGTGTTCAGGGAACTTATCGCTCTTGTAGAGTTACAGATCACGTCTAAAGAGCGCTCCAAAGTTTCCTCGCCTTGTGGTTGCATTCCGCTCAAGAAGGGTTGAGCTCGAAGTAAATATATTGTCTAAGAACTTCGTCTGCAAGAATGTGTTTCGCATATTGAAGCCTTAATCCTTTTCTTGCCTATTTTCCCTTTCCTCCTTCCCTATCCCTATAATGAAACGATGGGTTTCATTCAACAATCATCACTTTTTATTTTTCGCTGTTCTGATTATGCGCAAAAGAGGACCAGAGAGCTTCCAAAGATATTGAGGGGGGAGAAACTAGGGATCAGAGAGCTTCCAAAAATAATGAGGGGGAAAAACTAGAAGTTTTTCACGCTTACTCCGTCCCTTTCCCTGCAGCTAGCGGATTATCAATCAAAGAACGATGATGGACTGAGTAAATTACTTACTCTAGCCAATGGAGCGTGTGTGTCACCATACTTTTCCTTTAACTTGTAAAGAACTGTGTCTGTTATTTGTAGAACTGTGAGTATTAGAGCCTGCGCATCCGTCCCTGGAAAACCGACTAAATGAAAGCAGTTGTTCCATTTTCATATAGAAACCCTTTTTGAGAGAACAGGTCCATTATGTGTCACGCTCATCTCTCATTAAAATGGAGCTGGGCTTACCTTGTTTCCTGATGTATAAAGCGCACCTTTGCCTTGAACGCAGCCTTTGCTATAGGTGCGCGACAGTGGAGCAGAAAGGTATGATGCTCGGGTGCCGCCTTCCAACTCGGTTTGTGCAATCCTCGAGGTAGGGCCTTCGCGTTGAGGTAGGGGCCCTCGCGTCGATACGGAAATCTACAGCGAGTGCTGTCAGCGGTGAGAACAATCAGAGGGGGGAGAGCGCAGACATGTAGGGCGTCTGGTTATGGCAGCGCTTGCAATCCGTGCAATCCTTATCCTTACATTTTATAAACCACTAACTCTGTGTGTCGGTTTGTCGGTATGTATGTATGTTTGTCTGTCCGTCCGCAAAATGCTTCACGGGATCAAACACGCCAGTGTGAGAGAGTAAACGACCGCTAGCCGGTGGCGAAACCGTTGGTGCAGATGTATCAATCCAATGTTTTGTGATTACACCCTGCAGTATATAAGAGAACCATGTAGTGTACTCCAAACCATTGCACAAGCTGCTCGCGTGGCAGGTGGACGTGAGCACGTGCAGCGGCCGGGATGGGGAGTGGGGAGAGTATAATGTGGGTGGGTGGGATTAGTGAGGGAGAGTACGAGAGGGGAAGCTTAGAGTGCGTTTAGTAAAAGCCCATCACAAGTGTGGTAATAAAAGCGCCAATGAAAGGGATAAGTTGAATAGAGGAAGGATCAACCGCTAGCAGAGTCGCGAATAAAATCCATGTTTTGGTATCACTTCCGCCGGGCCCGCTCAGCAAATCCATTCTTTATCTCAGAAGAAGGCATGCGGCATCAGCCGGCAAAGCCAGCTGGTCCTTCTATTCTATAAAGCACTAACTTTGTGTGTCGGTTTGTCGGTCTGTATGTATGTAAGTATGTAAGTATGTAAGTATGTAAGTTTGTATGTTTGTCCGTCCGCAAAATGCTTCACGGCTTCGAGTTCGTAGAGGCCCAGAACGACCGCTAGGCAAACAGGCAAATCGGTGCGGAAGTATCAATCCAATGTTTTGATCGTGATATCGGCCCTCCGCTATATAAGACAACCATACGGTACACTCCGAGCCATTGCACGAGCTGCTGGCGTGGCAGCTGGACGTGTGCTCGTGCGGGGGCAGGGTGGGATGGGGCCGAGGGAAGGGGGGGGGGCACTGAGCTCCCCCCCCCTCTGCTTCCATCCCCTGCGCGTGCTCAGACCGATCTGAGCGTGCGCAAGAGAAGGAAGCAGAGGGACGGTCCGACTGGAACACTGGGCCTTCTTTCAAGGTGCGATATAGGCTACTCTGGCACAAGAATATGTGGGTGACAAGAACTGCTAGCCGCTGATAAAGGGAGTTAGAGTGGAATGACAACATACTCATAACGCGGTGCACAGCATCAGTTAGGCGTTGATTTCAGCAAATGATATCAAGGGGAAGGTGGGACAATGCGACGGCGGGTGACAAGAAATGATAACAGCCGATAGGGCCTGATAGGATTTTTGCAGTTGTTGTTCAATCAAACGTGGAGCCTCCACACTACGAAATTATAAAGTTCTAGGATAGCGACATTGATGACGAGTGACAAGCAATTTTATCAATTGATAAGTAAGGATAAGGGGACATTTTCACGACATCTCTGACCACTACACTCCAAAAAAGCCTCTCAGTAAGCGAAATTTCTCCGCAGCCATCACTCCTCTGATAGTACTTGAAAATGTACTCATCCCACTGGGGGGGGGGGGGGGGGGTATACTTCGCCTGAAACAGGAAGTTTAGAGAAATCAAAAATTCCAACATTGGAACACACTTTATTGCGTATCAGTGAGTATTTAAATATTTTTTTTTTTTGCTTTTCAACGTTATATCACTGATGAGAACGAATAACGAAGTAGTTTGTAAGATTCAATGAACGTTGCCTAAATATTGTCATCTGCAGCCATTCATGCAACCTTAGCAGGTGGATTGCATGTTAATGACAAGTTAATCGCCCATCGTTGGTTGATGCATGTAATAAAAACGGAATGTATTCATCCACTGTGCAACATATACTGATATTCTGTACTTTCTATCTATTTCTGAGATCTACGTATAGAATGGGCGTTTTGGCCGAAACCAGCACGCCTTCCGCAACTCTGAGGGGTGCAGATTTCGCTAGGTTACTCTGTCTATTATGATTCGACCACTACCGCGCAATATGAGCAGCTCATACAATTAACTAATTCCATCCCGTTATGATGTGCGCCTGGCGAAGCCAGGCCAGTTCGGCGAAGCCGAGCTAAAAAGAAGGAGGAGAGCTCGGCGTCAGCCGGCAAGGCCGGCTGGTATTCTATAAAGCACTAACTCTGTGTGTCGGTTTGTCGGTATGTATGTAAGTATGTTTTTATGTCTGTCCGTCCGCAAAATGCTTTACGGGTTCGAAAAGGTTAGTAGGAGGGGAATACGGCCGCTAGACAAACCGGAAATCCATTGGTGCAGAAGTATTGATCCAATGTTGTGATTGTGATAACAGCATATATAGGGCAACCATACATGCGTGGAAGCTGGACGTGTGCTCGTGCGGGGGCAAGAGAAGGATGGAGGGATACTCCCCTCTTCCTTCCCCTGCACGTGCTTAGCTGGGTCAGCACGTGCAGGGTAGGGGAACAGGGGGAAGATGTTGGGTGAAGGGGGTACGATGAGGGGGTGCGTAGCGCACGCTGGAGCACACAGCAAGAGAGGAGGATACAACCGCCAACAAAACTGCAGACTAATTCAAATAAAGTAACTAACAAGATGTTATTTTGATTGCGATAATATTAGGTTGTTCGAAAAGTGATGCGACGCTTTGATTGAATTGTTCTAGAGAAAGACCAAAAATCATTTTATATGTTTTTATATCTGATTAGTGGAGATTGTCCTCTGGGGTTTCTGCACATGTGTATATCATGACTTTATGAAAGTTTTCAAAGCTCAAAAGTCCCTCAGGCTCTAGGTACTTTTTGACTTATCCCATATCATGAGTTCCTGTAGGGTAACTCAGCCGTAATCGAGGAAGCTAACGCTTACGTTTGCGGAAGGATATCGCTTGCCATGGCAGAGGGTAGCTTTTGCATCAGCGCGTACAGGCTGAACTTATTTAACTCGTAGTTAGGCAATGTATAGATCGCCCACCAACACAGAATGACGGCCCTTTACTCAAGCTTCTCGAGGCGTAGCCAAAGGTAACCACCACTAAGTTGGCAACCTCTCTAGGCTCTACCTGGCTGACAACTGCCATGCTTCTCCGCAATCTCGGTTATCGGAAAAAATTTTTGTGAATGCCTCGTGAGTTGACCCGTCTGACAAGTTATACCAAATGACCGTGACTAAGTTTTCATTTCCTTGTACACAGCGAAAGAACTTTTAAGAGATCTTGTGGTTGGTAGCGAGTGTTGGAGTCCTTCTGCACATCATGTACATGTCCCTCGCAGGATCTCTCAAACAGAAAAGTAGATTGCTTAGCCAAAAACAGATGTGCATGGGATAAACGTTTCAGTGTGTTATTGGTGGGACTTCAGAGCGGTATCAATGGATACTAACACTGTTGTAAGGACCACGGTACGCCTCAATCGACTTAAAAATATGGATGAAGTCACGCTTGAATTCATTCGGAAATACTCAATTTTTCTCTACTACTCGGCTATGCGAAGACCGCATGTGGTGATTAGTGGGCAGGAGTGGCATGTGACTCGTTTTAAAAGTTTGTAGCTCAGTTCCAGAACACCAAGAACCGAGAAAAAGAGGATTAAGGTCAGCGAGCTGGCCGATTGAGGATTTTGGGGCACAAACACTGCGAGCAGGGTCCTGCTACGAGGTGGGCGGAGCCAGACAAAAATTCTGTAAAACGGTCCCAGAGCACTTCTAAGACGGGACAAATTGAGTTGGTCGCCCAAATGTGGGGCGTAAGCGTTGTGGACGGGGCCAGCCCGAGGTGAGCGGAGCCAGACAAAAAATCTGCAAAACGGTTTCAGAGCGGTCCAGACACGGTCAACATGTAAGCAGAGATGTGCAGGACCTCAACTTTTGGATATATGCCAAGTGTTGAGTGCGCCTGTGGTGTGTTGTAACCCGCTCCCACTGGGCGGAGCGCACGACGTACTTATCTTACTGAGTTTCAGCGCGTATTCTGCCATACTCCTAACCATCGGTCGTCATAGGTATTAGATTCCAGTCGGCACGGCTGCTGATGCCAGCGTTCCTCCTCCTGTGATACGGCCCAAGTTGGCCGGACGGGCACGGCTTCGCAACAAATTCCTTCCCGAGCTATTTTCTCGCCGTAATCGATGCACTTAAGTACCACTCCATACTAATAGTCAAAATTGCAGGGATGATGTATTTGTCGAGAAGCGTCACTCATGAGTACAGAACAAAAGCCTGATATCAGTTGAGTCTAGAAAGATGTGAAGGAAGGTTCGCGCGGCAAAGCCGCGCCCGCCGGGCACAGCCGGGCTGTATCAGAAGGAGGCGCGCCAGCGTCAGCCTTCGAGCCGATTGTACTATATCAGTCATCAGGCACAGCTGGGTGTGATGTTGGTCTTCAGAGGGAGGGCCCGCGATCGCCGTTTGCAAGAGGTGGAGCTGAGAATAATGGACCGCGTTCCAAGTGGAGTCTTCTTCTTCTCCCTAGCGTTACTCCGCGCCGTCGCAAGGTCCGCTGTTCTCGTTAGACGTTGCGACTTGTTCTGATCCACTGCATCTTCTCGCGTGGCTTTCAATTCAGTGAGGTCCTTCTTGACAAGGTTCCTCCATCTCTTCTTGAGGGCTCCTCCTAGACGCTTGCCACCTAGTTTGAATTCCATTGCCTTCCTCATTGGGTGGTCTTCAGGCCTTCTCAGTACGTGCCCATACCATCGCAGTCGCTGCTCTCGTGCCTTCAGCTGGATCAAAGCCGTCTGTGTGACTGCCCTGACGTACTCGTTTCTGACTCTGTCGAGTCGTGTTCAACTGCAGACCCATCTCAGCATCTTCATTTCTGGGT